ACCTTCACCACCGTTTCTGGAGGCGTTTCAAATTTGCCCACCACCGATCGTGACTCACTCACGCATGTGAGTTCTATTGTCACGATAGACGTCATAGAAGAGAATAATAACGAACTGTGCATGTCCATTGATGTGGCTGCAGGCATAGGACTTGGCTGCGCTGCTTTGGGTGGGGGTTTAGGTGTAGTTAGTTCAATTATAGTCAAGAAAATACTGAATAAACTAGGAAACAAAACGAAAGTAGACACTGTTAAAGATGGCGAGAATTGGGATATTTGATCACACTAAAAACCTCCAGTGACTGATGCTCCAAACACAGCGAAATTATAAACATCACATGATACAGATTAAAGGTCCACAGTCGTCATGGAGCACAGGCTCGAATTTAAAGCGAGGGAGTCGTCGCCTGCGCATGCGTCAGATGGCCATAGCGTGTCATTGTTTACAAACAAGCGTCTACCCATAAGCCTTTGCGTTTTAGCGTGTGTTGTTATCGTCGCGTGGGACTCAAATCCCGCGCGTGCGCAGGTGACGACCCGCCCGCTTTAATGCAAACAATGTATTTTACACAAGTTGTATGCGTCGCAAGGGTCCCATATCGAACTTACAGCGGGCGACCGTGACGATGGTGGCCCTTTTGTGCCGATGTGTTTGACATTGTCGTCTGTGTTCGCCAGCGGTTATATTAGCACGATAGATCTGATTACCTGAAAACTGACGCGAATTCTCCATATAATGTAGACATTTCAGTTACGACAACAGAAGTAAACAAAATAAAGATATATGTCTTTTGTTATTGCGACAGTTGCTGTGCAGGCTAAACCGGAATTATATACAGACACATGAAGTGTATATTTTGCATGTATTTGAACTGTTTTGCGGTGTGTATTAAATATTATATGGATTTAATTAAAAACTTATTTTAAAGCAACAGTATCGGTATAGACAATGAGGGTTCCAGAATGAAAGTGCAACAACGTATCGACCAGAATCCAAATGACAATGTTAAAATTTAGAATTGACAGTCTCTATATGTTCAGATTAGTCAGAGCGTCCAGTGTAACCAAGCAAGAATGCATGCCTTTCCTTTGTCGTTGTTTTGGGTTTCTTATTCTAAACTCAGCCTGGTTACTAGTACATATTTAATATAATAACTTACTGTTGCCCATATTTGGACATTACGTTACATCATTGCTGCATATTGTCAGACGATAGCATTACTCTATTGTCTTCAATCGGTCATATGGGTCGTTCATTATTGTTATAGTGTACTAAGTATGTCAGACACATTAGTGACGCTGATATGGAACTCTATACCAAATAACGGACATTATCATGGTGGTTACAGTATACAGACATGTATTCGATATTGGAGAACTGAACCGGAAGAACACATTGTATTCTGAAACTTTCTCAATTGTGTTGAAGATTTGTCAGATTGGCGACAGAGCGGCGAGATTGTAGATGATAGACACTGTAATATGTTAATTGATTGTAATTTCGCGATCCGTTCAATAGTTAATCCATGTATGTACTGATGATATAAAACAAACTCAGTGATTACCCGTATTAAAGTTATTTCAGACCAAAGTTATAGTTTATAATATGATGGATTCAGTTTTGTGATCCGGCGTCCGAACATGTGGTATTCACTGTGACGTATAACACAGTCTGTGATGTGAGCAAACAGACATGCGCATACTGACTTTCGTTAAACATTTTTTTTGTATGTGTAGTATTTATTATTATACACAGGTAATTAATTACATCATGGATACACGCTATGATAACACAACAGTGCATAAGTGCAGCCCCACCCTGGTGTTTGTTTTCTATACTGTAAAATGACTAATTTTCACTGGGTTTAAATTTCACTGATTTACCATTTCAGACATATTCAGTGGGTTTTAAATTCACGGTTTCGTCATTTAAATAATGTGTTCTATGCTAAATTTTACATATTCACTGTGTTTCAATTTAGCGCATTTTTCCAGTCAGCGGAATAAGCTAAATTAAAACCCAGTGAATAATTAACCCCCTTTACAGTACATCGTCGCACACGGATTAAATTGGCAAATAAAAACTGCCGGAAAGTGTCTAGGGTTGAGGTTCGACATAAACCAGAGTCAGTGCAAATGACGTGCCTCTTACTCGTGTTGTTGGTTTGTCTTTGCTACAAGTGAATTCAGATATGTATTAAAACACATTTCACAGGCAAATGTAGCCAAATTCCATATGAACACCAATAATTTTATAATTACCGATTACACACGAGAATATAGCACGTTGTGTTTTGTCTTTAATATACACTGAATATTAAAGACAAAACACAATTTGTTGTATTCTCGACATTTTTGCATTTTATTTGTCTGAACGACAGCTGAATGAAATTACAAAATATGTATTTTCCAACAATTCATGTATGACTAATAACTTTACTAAGATTTACTTGGTAAAAATACTGTATTTTTCTCCGTAAAACCGAAAGAATTTAACAACTTCGAAAACGGAAAGTTTTTATTGTAGCGTTAATGTGAGAAGATACACTGATGCGATGACTCATTATAGTATCATGTTTGCAATATGTTTGCAAAATGTTTGCAATATGCGGCTAAGGACGACGACATGTTATATCAAAATTCTGAGTATGAAGTAGTGTGCGTCCCCTCGCCCCATCTGAACCCGCAACTGGTCTATTGGTGTGTGTGCTTGGAAGTGTATATGTCATCAATAACGCTGTACCGCTTCTTAACCTGAACGCCTATAGAGTTATTTATGCGCAGTTGCTGATGTTATGAACAGAATAATACTCCAACTTATGAAAATTACTTGTGACTAAGAAGGCATAAAACTGCGAGCGAAGGCGACGAGAACACCTTCGAAGTGTTAATGCCACAACTAAAAATTATTTTCATATTCATTATAAATGAGGTCTTATGCATTTTGCGGATATTTATGTGCACCGTATTTTCCGTAATAATAATCAATCAATTGATAACTCAGTAATTACCAGCGTGGACACGTGAACGTTTTCACATCTCGAAAACAATGTAGTTTGTATGCAGCCATTTCACTGATCAGAAAACCGTTATCTTAAAACGCGAAAGTTTTACAAATAAAGCACCCAAAATTGCCACCATCTAGAGGGAGCAAATTTCACGCAGTTATGTCGCCGATTGTATGTTACAGCCACATTTTCAAATTTGGGTTTGTTCATCGCCGAATTGCACGATTTTCGTTTATAATTTTCGACAAATTTGCATAACAAACATATACTAGAGTATTCTACAGCGTATCGTCTGATATCGGCGCGGTTTTATGACCTAATCTATCAGTTACCGATACCGTGATATTTATCGGAAAACGACTGGTTTTAACCACAGTCGCCCGAAACTATCGATATTCGAATCTGTTTATTTGTTTTGACTCAAGTCATCATAATTCATGTACATGTATGGTCAATACAATAAAACGTATGTGACGTCACCGTAAATTAGCGACGAAGCGTTCTATGACGTATATCGGTGTCACGAAGGTCGTTTGAAGTGTCGATATCGTTCAGATCTGTAGTCGTCAATCAATGAAGCTTTTTTAGGTTTTTGAGAGATTTTACCATATTTTGGATGACACATGACTACATAACCAAACATAGTTGTTGATTTGAACAACATTGTTTTCACTTATATACGTCATTCTGACGTCAAAGATGCTCTGACACAAACAAGCGCGGCTTTTATGAATGGTGTATAGACACATTTTGCTGCAGAATAAAACAAAAAATATTGGAGGTTCATGCGACAAACATATAACACAAATGAACATCAAGTATTTTGTTTAAATGTCAGTACTTGAATGTGACTTTCACGAAATGTCACTGTTAGTGATTTGTATAAAAGAAAATTTGACATAGTTGAACATTTTAGTTTCGCTTCCCCTACCCAATGACAGCCTCTTCTCACAGCAGGTAGAATTTTATCATACAACATAATTTGACAATTATCGATTTGTTCACGTGCCAATAAAATCGAGACCAATGTTACATTCCGTGGTCGATTGTCCGAAGCGAGCAAACGTTACGTAATAGTGTACATAATAATGACAGGGTGTTTTCAACGTGGTTCTGACATGTATATATTTGTGATCTATGAAACTTGATTATATATACAACTAAACTGTATACAATGTGTTACATGCATTTTTAAATTATTTATCAATTATACTATCATCAATTACGATGGTAAATGCGATAATTGGAAAGGGAACAACTAATTGTATTACGTGACACGTATTGTGACTTTATTAGTTTTTAGATCGATCGACGTCATCTAAAATTATGATGATGTTGTATATATATTTATGACGTCAGCCCTACTTGGAGATGGGCGTCGTCATTATCTTAATCACCATCATAAGATCACATTTCATTATCTCAAATTAATATGAAAAGATGTACTCGACAACGCTTCGTGACTGGAACCGGAAAATGGACGCGTGTATTACAAAATTACATGTAGCTAGCACAATTAAAAACTGCGAGTAACTTAAAGCTACCAGTGACTGGATCAATGTGCGATGAGGTTAAATTAAATAATGTGTTTTATTTATTTATGCGCAATGATAAAAAAAAAACACTTTTCGATGTATTGTGCCCTGCATAGTAGCAGCCGACACAATTTCGTAACAGTCGGGCACAGACGAAATAGATTATAGTTTGGAATTATAAATTTACCTGTCATAGTGGTAGAAGCACCTGTCTACCATACACGCATTACAAATTGGGCTGCCCTGGTGACACCAAAACATGTACAAGCGGAGCATAGCAACGCAGCTTATCGATCGTGAAAAGAACGTCGAATTGAAATGAGCAGGCACAAAGAGATCCATAGAACATGGGCAATAAAATGACACAAGCCAGTCGATCGGAGAAGAAGATAAAAACAACCATAAACACTAGCGAGCCAAAAGATATGATTAAAGTTTCATTGCTGACAAAGACTGGGCAGATCCTCTTTACCGATCGAAGAACAATAAAATCTTGCCTTCGTCATTGTAGAGACATCAGTTTAACTTCGGTTCCTTCAGGGGTGGACATCACTTGGCGCCCGCTGCACCAGGTTGATTTTCTAACGCGTTTGTGATATACTCCTTGTGTACGATTACGGATAAAACTGTTGCAAACATCTAAGTAAGTTTTGTTTTGTCTAATGTGAATTTCAACTCTGTATTTGTATTTGGAAGTGGTTACGATGTTTGTATAGGTTTTCGCATACGCGTCAATGTTTTTCTCGATTAATTTGTGACGGTGTACGCTTTGAGGGAATCTACATCACGTACTACACGTTAAATATGCAACAAACGTTCAACGAGATATTGAATCTACCATAAGTTGAAACATCTTACCATGTTTACCGATTTTTTTACAGACATTGTTGTCGTATCCATAGTAACAAGATATGGTATGTAAAGGGCCACAGTGAACTACGTCACTTTAAAGTTAACTGCGCCGAGTTACACTACTTTTAACTACCCCTGTACTGCCAAAGCCATTTATTAAGGTAAAACTCACTATTAAGATGCCTTGTAACTGTTTTCACTTGCGATACTATTTCAAATTCTAACTGTTTGCGTTATTTTTTTATTAGATGTGTGGAGAGGCTTTTTACACGCTTTTGGTCCTAGTAGTTTTTGCATCTAAGTGCACGGGCGAGAATGCCGGTAAGATATTCTTAAAATAGTATCAGTTTATATAATGTCACATCACGTTCGAATTTCATATAAAAAATATCGTAATCTACACACATTTATGAATTCGTCGCATAAGACCCATACCGAACACGATGTGGTGTATGAATTGTTAAGTCTTAAACACTTTTTACAAATTTCGGTTAAAAACAAGTCGCATATTAATGCATCAGCCACGGATAGATTAGATGTATATGCTAGCGCGGTAAGTTGTTTTCCAGTAACGCGAGTGGCATACGACCATCACGCATACGTGGAAAAAGTAGACTTCAATGGATATCCTAGATAGATGGACGCGGGTTTTAAACTCACCGCTGAATATTCACTTTCGATGACAACACGATAACGACAATTCAAGTAAATATCGGATCATAGTTGTTTGTTGTTAAGCTCGATTGCATAGTGTAATCATGTAAACATATAACTCACGTTCATACTAAATCTCTTTTATCATACAAACCGAATTATTTATTTTCATTTAATTGTTTCTTGGTGACGTACTTTCCATGTAAGGAATGTGATGACGTTTACTCATCATATCGGGTGTTGTGTTTTCATTGTGCATGTTGTGTGGATAGATTAAGAATTGTTGGGGAACATAAGCCATGAATAGAATGGATATGAAACTTCATTTCACACTCGGATGCTACCGTAACTAACAACCCGTTCTCGGTTCACCTTTGACCCCAGCAATAATCATAAAGTTTGCTTACATCGCAATTGTCCCTTTCTATGCACTTTTACTTTGTCAGCGCCTAGTGTAACAGTGCGTTGTGTAGTCGAGGTAACTCATGATATGAATGAAAGGACAGTAAATCTTCACTCATTAAATTTTACGCGGCCTTACTGTGGACATTTACTGCTATAATAAGGCACATCCTTGGACGATTTAGTTCACAGTCCGCCTATATTATATACACCGTTGCATGTTAGATTGGCATTTTAAAATGTAAAAATAATATTGTAACAGCGAATCTTTATCGTGTATGACGTCACAGAAAATGGCACTGTGCATGCGCGAAAAATATGAACGCCATTGCTTACCTCCGCAGCCTAGCAACAGCGGAAAACGTCATATGTGCATAAATGAACGTTGACGCGAAGGGAAAAATTATATATGTATTAATACTTGTACCAATAACGTGGTTTAACCACGCTTTTAGGTACTAGAATCAGATTATATATACAAACACGAACTCAATTTTATTCAGTTACGTTTCCTGCGATCCATATCAATCAATCAATCAATCAATCAATCAATCAATCAATCAATCAATACAGACATAGTTTAATCCAAGTGGGCCAGTATTAACTTGTTACGTTCAACAAAGAATACAGGCAAGATTGCTGGTTTGTACAAAGTTTGCGATTTCCGTGTTCTATGCCTTAGTTTACACGTTCTCGGTTTTAAGACGTACAATGAAAGAATATGTAAACGATGTTAATTGCGATACTTTGTAGTAGCAGGGTAACGCCAAGGTCGAACATTATGGCTGCATTGTGCACGCTAACTAACCGTTAACGACTGCGATACCTCGGCGGAAAGCGTATCATGAAAGAGCTTTGTCAACAGTTTTGATAACATGGTATTCAAAATCCAAAACATCATGCTGGATATCAAATATAAATAAGTAAATCGCTACCATGGTAAAGCGCGTGCGTGTAAATAAACAATACTGTATACACGCGTTGTACGTAACATGGGACTCACATCAGACACGACGCTTTAATCAGGTTCAATTAATACTAGTAATCGATACATTACATCGCATCATTGTATTCACGACAATCGTCTTCTCGTCCACAGATTTGAGGGTATCCGGCCTATCCATAAACAACCCCAATCCCAACCAGAATACACCGGTCTACTTAGTAGATACTGCCACCACTGTGGCTCTCATGACGTTCTACGTCAACAACGACGGACCCGATAATTTGGAAGCAGCGGCATCTGGAAACAACTATGAAGTTAAAGTTTATATTGCTGAACTTAACAGCGATGAAACTGCTATAGTTGCCTCTGACGAAGTATCGACGTTCACTTTGTCTGACGAAAGCGGGCTATCCGGGGCATTGGCGAACGGAGCCAACGTATTTTACATGGCAACTAATTTCGCACTGACTTATCCAAGTAATCTCTGCGCTTCGTACACCCACGTGTGTGCAAAAGTTGAAAAAGACGCCGGTGCCACTTATGACGACACTGATGCGACCAATGACTTCAATTGTCTGCCCTTCATTCAGGGAACCACTGGATCAGCTGCTGGATTAACAGACTGTCCGTCAGGTAAGATGAAAATAAGAATATGTTATATGGATAAAGATTCCAAAGACAGCTATGATTAAGGTAGTTTGCAATTAAAAAAAGTACTCAGAAATCCTTGAAATCCAGCAAAAAGGGTTGGGGACTGTAATGATCAAATTTCTGAAATAAAAGAAATATAAAGTCACCGAACTAAGTTTTCCACAAAACGACCTCAAAAATGTGTTTTTTGAATGGTTTACACTTGGTTCCTATGGCAGAAACATTCCATCGTCACGGTATCTCAACATTTTGTTCGGTGATATTTGTGAATATTGTGTAGTGTTTTGAGAGCTACATATGGCTATTATTACGAAAATTTTGAGAATTTTGAATATAAGTAATCCATGGAATAATGTGTTCTCATGGAAACCTATGGAAAATGTTCCAAAATGGCCGTATTTTAGATAATTTTGTATATGTTTTCATAAAAACACATCCTTCTCTCTGCGTACAAATTTTAAATATAAATGACGTGCATGTATGTAAATCACCACACATACATTTTTTGAATGATTTGCTGTGATCAGTTTGTTCCAAGTTTTCATGTAGCGAACTACCTTAAAAAGTTGCCATGGTGTCAAAGTACGCCCATTGACCCAATTTAATTGCAAACGAACGATCATGTATTTAGGGTTGAAGCCTTAATGTGTGAACAACTTATTTAACGTGACTGATGGGACGCTTCTTCGAACGTTTGTCTATGCACAAATGCATCGTATAAACACCATATTCACACCTAGTTACACGTTTTAAGGGTGCGTGCACAAGTTTTACTTCGGGGCTCTAATGAACACATTGCGTATTTCTTTGTCTGGTCTAGATAACCACAACTGCTATGAATCGCTTTAATTTTGCGGGTTACGGTGACAATCGCAACATTTTGTAGGAGTAGAACTTTTCCTAGGCCCCCACAACATTGAGCTTCAGTGACTTTGTGATATTTTGTCATTACGAATGCCGTACCGTGACAGTCTCGAAATCGTAAACTCTGGCTGGCTGTACTCTGGCAATGGAAATTAAACAGTTTGCAGTGTACTCCTATGATATATTCAATTCATTTTTGTTTTACTAAACTCGTTTTTTTTCAGATATTGTACCTATTGCATTGAACGTAACCGATCCGTCGCCACCATCGTTTGTTTACGGCAGTGAAGTAAACGTAACATTGAGCGTCACTATAGAAAACCAGGGCGGTACAGCGGTGGTCGGTTCAACAGCCAACGAAGACAACTTGGCATTCAGTAAGATCTTCATCGCAAATACTCAAAGTGAGAGTGCCTCCACTATGGTTGACTTCAGCGACACGTTGCAGTATACGTGGAATGACGTCAGTGATGGCATCGATGAATGGGGTAATACGGAGTATAGTGGAATCACTGCTTCAATAACAATACCGGAAGTGGACTGCGCAGATTATGTATATCTGTGCATTGTATTGGATTTGGGTAAGTGACATATTTATGTATGTATGTTACTACACCACTTGTGTTCTTTTTATTTTCTCTGGGATTTACACAGAAGATTGTGGGACGATTTCCACCTGTACGTGAAACATATGACTCGACGTAAAAAACGGTGTTGTCTATGAAGGATTATCGAATTATGGTTTCAAGGAGGCGTCTGTGTCAGTGTGTGTTTCGGAAATCGTCTCCCAGTGTATGTGTCTCCGTGATCGAGAACTTTGTTTTAAAGTGGTGGAGTCGTCACCTGCGCATGCGTCAGATGGCCATAGCGTGTCATTGTTTACAAACAAGCGCGGCGTCTGCCAATGAGCTTTTGCGTTTTTTTGGCGTGTGTTGTTATCATCGCCTGGGACTAAATTCCCGCGCGTGCGCAGGTGACACCCTCTCGCTTTAATCATTCTCAATTCAACCCCACCGCGACAGTCGCTGATACAAATATCAACATCTGTCCAGAGGGGCTGTCGTCAGGCTACAACTTATGTAAAGATGATAGTTATTCTATTGTAGTTTGTTAAACGCACTGTTTACTGCTCTCTGTGTTTGGAAAACTGTGCTTTTCACCTACTATAATTGTCATAATTATCTTTTTTAAGGAATCAACTCTACAGCTGACGACGATACTTCTAATAATTTGTACTGTGGGGAATTTGGATCGTTTGTCATTGGTGGAATAGGTGAGGTGATCTGCCCCATCATAACAACAACAGTATCGGTAACCCAAGCAGTGACCAAAGTCGCAACTACACAAGGCCAGATCAGCACGACTCCTGTCGAAGACGAATCTACAGTGGACAGTTCTATCGTCAGCGTTCACATAGCCGTCATTGTAGGTATCGCCATCGGGGGACTGGTTGTCGGAGCGGCGGCGGCGTTACTAATACAATATTCCGTTGCCAAGTTTGCTAAAGCCAAGGAATTAAAGAAAAATGCTGTGAGTGCGATGAATGGCGATTCTAAGCCATAACGTCAATGTGCTCATTTACTCGGAACTATTGTTTAAGCAATTATATCGGCATTACAACGGTGTCTTTTTATTGAACACTCCATTGTGTTCAGGAAGTTTGAACTTTATTACGGTCTGCCTGACTGACCAACTGAAAAGAAATTTCTAAAGTGTACTGACTGAAGTCTGGGGAGTTTTCTTCATACATAATGGATAGACGAAATACATGGGTTTTTTTTCTCATTTCTCGGTAATTACGTCCAAATTTCAGAGACGCAAAGAATGTAACTTATCTGCTGTTGTATTCGGTTATATCTAAACCCATATTCCGCCAGCTTCTTGGTGTCCTAATATATTTACCTATTGTGTTTTTTTAGAACCCTGGGTTAAGATCTCCCAATGCCCGTGGACCCTGGTTTACCGAACATGCTTAGTATCCCAGCAGCAGAAATTGTGACAAAAATGCTCAGTGAAATTAAATTAATAAAGGATCTTCAAGTTTGTATTGTGATTTCAACAACTTAACACTAGGAAAAAGATACATTTTTTTTTTAAATTTGAGAGAGAAAAGACGAATCGATATGGACGAATTCATTACCGATATTGCGGTGGTTTTAAAATATTAAGTCTCCCTAGAGGGCGTTATAGATATGTCACGCATGCGCAGCTTACACTTTATTGTACATACTTTGATGTTTTATACTGTTGGTTATATAACGAACACAAATTATAGAGGTTGTGGGGACTACTTTTCAGAATGCTGTTTCACAGGACTTTTTTTTTATTTGACTGTCATAATAGTTGAACTTAATACTCTAATGCAACAAAATCACCGGGTGTGTAGCGTTCTATATCTGTAAACATAATGAATCCATCTGTTTTGTTAAAGTTTATTGTGAATTTAGTTTATCATAATTGTGTTATTGTGAGTACCACGTACCATTTGCTATATTATATTCTCTGTTACGCTTGCTACCACCAACAAACAAACAAACAAATTCGTTTGTTTTTCAAACTATGTATATTTTGATAAGAGTGAAATAAAAAAAACACTTCTTAGTGGTTTAAAGAAAAAAACTTTTTTAAATTTCATTCTCATTCGTATTGTCACCGGTCTGAGATTAGTTGAAGATTCAAAATTTCTGAATATCGGGCATTTGCGACTTGTGTATGCATGATGTAGATGAGTACGTGAATGGCTAAAATAGAAAATGCTATCGAATGAGCTAACCATGCTTGGACAGCCCCCTCGAATGCGGGGGATATTATTTTCTTAGCATGCTTTTCTTAAAACATGCGCAGTGATTGGTATTGTTCGTACCATATCATATCTCTTGATGACAGTTATTGTAATTCTGCAAATTCGACGTAAATATTGACCTGTCTCAAGAAAGCAAGATGAACGGATCGCCATTTCACTACAATAACAATACTTTGCAAAACGTAATCCGAGATAAAATGGTTAGTAGTTCGATTGTCACAAACATCTTTTTCGACTTTTTGTAGTACGTTTTCAGGTAAAACAAATGCGAAAAAATGACCATTCGTAGTGAGGTGATTGACCACAAAATTGAAGTTTGTCTGTGGCAGAGGTACTATTGCGTAAAGCGCAAAGACCTATAGGAAGGAGAATGACCTGTTTGTGGTTCCCAAAATTCCCTGGCTAAGTGAAGCTAACATGATGTGCGCGAAGGGCGGGAGTCAAATCTACTTGGTTTCATTCCCGGTCAACAGTAACACGCAGTTTTAGGCATTTGTTTTACTAATATGTTTACTGTCGAAAATGTATTTACGTAACACGTCTTTATTAGTAACACCGTCTCGAAACGAACAAAGACACTACCGTGACTGAATCACTTAAAGGGCTGTAGTCGTCGCCCCACGCATGCGCGAGGTATATGGGTCTCATATAAACAAAGATGGCGACTTTGAGTACGAAATGAAACGTTACCAAGCTTTAATTAGTATGTTTAGGTGATTGCATGGCATCCGAAGGAGTCACCAGCAGTAATTAGTGCAAGTCGCGCCCAGGACAACCCGCATACATGTGATTTCCATTAGAAGAGTGCAATGGATTGCGGGAAAATCAATGTTTATCTACAGAAGTTTCGCACATGCGCAGCGCGACGAATGCCACCCTTTAATGTGTATAGTTTAGCGTATTATAATTTGTTGCTTGACATTGCAAGGAAAATCAGTGACTGACTTGCGCCGGTGCTGAACCAATCATACACGATATTTTCGTCTACGGTTGTATACGCAAAAAAACTCAAATTTTACTTTCAGAAAATGTCAGACAGATATAATATACATGTATGTGTCTCGCGGCAATCTTGATTGCTTTAGAATCTAACAGCAAAATCTAGCGCTAACAGCAAAAGTCACGTGACCACAGAAAAATCAATTTGTGTAGCTATTGCTATATGTATCGGGTGTTCTTCGGTAGTAGGTACATATATTTAAAGCGCGGTGGTCGTCGCGCAGAGCGTGTTCGAATTTCATGTAAGCAATGTATTTTACATGTTTTATACGTCGCTATGAGTATACAGGACGCGGCACGACGACTGCCGCCCTTTAACATCACGTAAATGTTTTAAATAGTTGCCGTAACATTGAAAGAATTGTCGTAATACTCTCGCAAAATAGTGGAAATTAGTAAATGTCAGGTAAAGTTAAAACGACCATTTAATGGATTTGCTATATTCAAATATAATGTCGTGGTCAGATAACAACAAATGGTCTCCCAGTCCCACTAATACGGTTGTACAGCAAGGTGTCAGAAAACTCATGTGACGTGGTGCGTGACATCATCGATCCCGGGAGCAAATAGAAATATTCGGTACAAAAGAGACAGCGGCCTCAGAAGTATTGACCTCAACAATTGCATAATATTACTCGTAGTCATACGCCGCCCATTACCAGCCGCCTTACATGCACAAATCATATTATCCGGCATAAGTAGTGGTGGGTACATGAGATCAGTAGAGAGACAAGGGATATGTGGCGGGCGCCCTCTATGAACGGAAATAGACCGCATGTCATTGGTCGACCTTCAGAAATATTATAAATAGCAGCGTAATATACACGAAAGTCACACAACAAAAAGATATCAGGTGTAAATTAAATACTGGCTGCATCTGGTCTGTGCTACATATTTTAGTATTTACTTGTTTATTTCATTTTACTGGTTTATCCTAGTTTGACGTCGAATTGAATGACGCAGGTTGTTGATACACCGGCAGATTTCCGTCATAGGTATGCGAACATCTTAAGGTCAAACATTTGCGCTTGCGCAGAAGTAAAATAAGGCAGTTATTTCTATCGGCTCTGACCAGATGTTAATTTCCGGTGCCGTAAACAGTGAATTCCGTTAAAAAATGGTGTAGATCAGCGTCGTTACGAATCATTTTTACCGATCATGGCATTGCTAGGTAAGAAAAAGAAAACCGTCGAATGGAGCGACATGGACAAAAAGAGGTTCGTTCCATATTACGGGGGTTTGTTGTTAGGTGTCAGAGCAACAACACACCCGTATAATGTCATCAAAACTAGGTTAATGGACAGGAACAGTCTTAAATTCTATAGAGGGACGATGGATTGTCTCTTCAAGGTAATCAAGCAAGAGGGATTTGTCGCTATGTATAAAGGATTCTCTGTACAATGCTGTCACATCGGAACAAGCCTCATGTACATCACATCATACGCCTATACACGAAACCTTGTAAAAGACTCGTACCCCCAAGGCAGCGATTTTACAGTCTCCTTCCTTGCCGGTGGCATCGCCGCACTCGTGTCGCAGTCGATCGGCGTCCCCGTCGATGTCGTTTCCCAGTTCATAATGATTAATCGCGCAGCCGCGAAGCTTCATTCAAGACCATTGTTTTTCGAAGAGGTCAAGTCCTTGCCTGTTGTGTGTAGGGATATATACGCCCGTGGAGGAGCGAGAGCTTTCTACAACGGGTTCAACGCGTCTGTGCTTACGTTTGTACCCAGCAGTGCGATACTATGGGGGTTCTACAGTTTCTATACACATTTTCTTCTGTCGCACGCCCCGTCAACGGTACCGCTGTTCGCCGTGCAAGCATGTGCGGGCCCACTTGCAGCCATATGTGCCGCACCATTATCCCACCCAATGGATCTTGTTCGAGTACGTATTCAACTCATGCAGAGCCCGAACGTTCGAATGGCCTGTGCAGATATTTACCAGAGCCAGGGTCTTGCCGGATTCACGCGTGGTCTGGTACCCCGTGCGATAGCAATAACCCACTCATCCATCATCATGCTACTGTGTTATGAAACTGTTAAACAGCTGAGTGTGAAAAAAGGTTACGTCGACCAGTGGAATGATGGAACAACACTTCAATGACCGTTATACTACTAATATTTATGTGTATTTTTCGTATACCAGTCTCACCTTATTATACACCTGGCTTACAAGTGTCATTCTCATCTGGTCCGTATTTCATAAAAAATTAAACAAAAGACATGACTCTAAAACACAGGTAAGAATGATGACTTAAGATGACAGTAGCAAGGATAAAATCAGCTTTTGTTGCCATCTTAATATTGTTCAACGGAACAAAATATTAAAGACACTTATCGCAATACTTGCCAAGACCCCTGATTAGAATCCTATCGCAGTCACGTATACCCACATACATCTTTGAGATTATATTATTGTTTTTGTTTTAAAAAACACACTTCAATATCAAAATATGAAAATTGCGACGTCACGGAATGAAAACACTGGATTATGCTAATGCGTATAAATTATTGCATAACATTTACAGTTATGATGTATCATCCTTTAAAATGTCACAGTCGTCGTGTCGCGTCGTGTTCGATCGAGTTCCATGCGACATGTAACCGTAAAAAAAAATTTTGTTTACACGAAACATTGCTTCAAGTTGTTTACTGCTTTACGACTGTGGTAAAATCTGATATTGTATTCGAATTACGCTTTCATTTTTTCGTATATTTGCATTTGTGGTTGTATAATCTCGTTAAAATCAATATTAATTGTACAGCACCACGTGACAGGCGCAGTGATAGTTGCTATGGTATAGGCTGGTTCCTGCATAGTATGTAATAATGACGTGTGGCTAGGTCAAGGGTCACTAGAAAGACACGTCTTCACTTGGCTCTTATTATATGTTTTATCAGGTCGTGTGAATATTTTACCTCAAATGGCGCATTTCATCATTACGTTATTTGATAAACTTTTATATAGTTATATGCCGTGCATTTTATACATTATTGGCCTTACAGCGGTCACTTTCTGAAGCAGCTGTGCATTTCTGCTCACTTTAGAGTTATTATTATAGGTTAAGTCGTTGTCATGACTTTATTTACAACGTACCACTTTTGACTGAACCTACATGACACGTGTGCAATGGTCAATTAAACATAACATCTCATAATCTCAGTATACAACAAGCAATACCCCGATATAATTCGAGTTAATGGCTCAGTGGATACACTTAGTTTGACATTAATTATAATGTGATATGTATATATTGTTCAGCTGCCACAACAAAAGATATCTCCTGTGATGTTCATACAAAGTCTTAGCTACGTTATCTATAATATTTACCACAAAACACGCTAGCTCGACTTTCTACTATTTTATTTTCAGTACTTTAGATGTTTTACACTATTATGTATTTTACAATGTCGGATTTTAGAATGGACGATTATGTATATAGAATATAGTATACCTTTATATATTATAACGCTATAGTGGTATGTGAATGTGTTACATGTTCCCATTCAGTCATAGTTCGCGAAACAACGCTATTTGAGAATGTGTCTTGTTTCGAACTTCGAATTTTGAAGTAAGACATAATGATGTTATCCTATTTTCATGTGTTACATCATGAAAAGTCATTTTCTTTCTGGCGAACGTTAAGCGACAAATTGGGAATATCTTAGAGTATATGCACGTTATATTTTATATTTTTACAGAATAAATGCTATAATATATGCTTGTGTTACATATTGGCTTTCTGACCGTGTTTTTTTTTAAACTTGTTTTTCGGATCAAATACAAAAGTATTTTACACGTTTTTGATTGTATTTCAATAAATATAAACTCCTTGTACGATTTGAACGCGTACGGTTGCCGTTTTCAAATATCGTGTGTACATTAATGCTGTCAAATCATCAATAGTTGATGTGATTATAGACCCTAAGGTCCAGTCTATTATGGAATCTGACAATACTGTTGTTCGCCGGTTTGCAGTATGGGCACTTACCTGGGTGTATGTTAACACAAGTATCAGTCAGAATGTGAAACAATATTGCCACGCGATGCGGCATCCCACCACCACCACCTACATGGTAGCATTAATTACTTGTCATCTGTGCATCTGCACCGTATGTAATATCGCCCTCATACTGACAACACTTGATTTGTAACATTGATATACACATCCGTTTTCATTACACACGCTATCATTTGTGTTTATTTAGATACATGTAATCAAATACCTTTATAATCATAACGTGAGGGTGTATCTTTGAAGCATGTCTGTATGTAAGAGCAATATTCTACAAAATTTTAACAGTGTATAGCCAAGACTGTTTGGATAATAAAAAGCAAAAAAAAAAACACACTCCCAAGTGTCCATGAACCTGCATCTCTACCTCAATTATTTCAGTATTACTAATGTATGCACATTTTTTTGTTGGTAATACTGTTTTTTTCTCTCCAAAAATCTGTCAAATAATCTTTAACTTGGTAGAAAAAAATGTCACTTAAGGTGGTGGGCCAACTTTGAAATACATGATCGGATTTCACTGGCGTTTACAGTATGTAATACAGTATGCATGGCCATTTACCATAGGTTCCTATGGTGATCAGTTCTCACCATACCTCATTATTATGGATTCCTATGAGAATCATTCCAAAACTGTTCATTTTCTCTAACAAATATTTCATGCTGAAATTCGAAAAGTTGATGAAATAATTGTTATTAGGTATATAAGTGTGGACCTCGTGACACAATAGTAAGACATATCATTAACATTTTCACTTTGTAAAGTAATTTTAACAGGTGCTGTTTTATAATGAAAATACAATACGAATTCTTTTAATCTAGATACCGAACATTTTTCATATCAAATACCAAAGACTCCCAAGCAGACAACAACAACAACAACAAAATGCGTTTGCTAGCATAAATCGCATTTCGCGATTATTTGGCCAGTAAATGTAAACATATGATACATATTCTCTCCACAAAGAGATGCTTGTCCTCGAAAGTGTCCCAACCCAAAGTTGTATGGATACAACGTTATGAGTTTCCACATTATGTATTCCTGTCGACCCCTGTATAAATAATGATATACCCCAACTTTCCGGCTTGCATACAGTCCGGACTCAAAAACAAACTTATACATTTGAATATCGTACAAATGCCTGACATGTAGGTGTGAGTGGAGCCCTCGCCCACCGAACTGCATCAGACCCTACTAACTACAGTTGGGTTTGGATCAGCGCAGAGGGTGCAACTCACGCGACTTTGACAGCTAGTATATACATGGGATTAGTGGAATTCAACTAAAAGTTTTTCCCAAGAGAAATTGGTTAGAGTCATTTATATCGCCTTCCATAATTGTTCGACATTAGTCACAAGACGTGGTCATTGTAATTAAAACATTTTATTTCGTTCATCATTGATTTAAACACATTATTAAAATTATTATTAAATTATTAATTTAAATTATTAAAGCTACAATGCAAATCGACCTTTTCCCTGAAAAGGGTTTTCTTAAGGTATGGTACCTAGTTAGTTGTCGTAATTCAGGAAAGGCTGGTGTAAGTGTAATTTAATAATGAGCATTTGCAAAGTAGTCGAATTTCAACTTGAATGTCGAAACGCCGACCTTTCAGAGGGGAATATGTCGTTGAAATACACTAACTGCAGTCAAATTAACATACATCAAATGTGTATGACACATTATTATGACACATTGGAAATGTCCCCAAAAAGTAGTTTCGCGTTTGTCGAATCCCATGCGATGTTTTGACGTCACTGTGACGCTATGACCTTTGTTTGCAATCTCCTTGCTTCACGCAATAGTACCTCTGCCACAGGAGGCATTCAATTTTGTGGCCAGTCACCTCATTACGCATGGCTATTTTTCAACATTTGTTTCGTGAAAACGTACTACAAAACATAAAATAAATTGTTTGTGACAAACTTCTGTGAAAACGTAAATACAAACACTTTTATCGGGGACTACGTTTTGCAAGCTAATGTTACTGGAGTGAAGTGTCACATGTGATGCACTAAAACTGAGGAAAACGTCATTTTATTTAAGTATCTAGCTGGAAACGAAACATTAAACACTGATTTCAATCAAATAAATGTCCTACAATCTCCGTTTGTTTAGTTTTCTGGGGAATAATATGAATAATATTCGAATTATTCGAACAGCCACCGAACACAAAGCACCTTGCCAGATTATAAAGTTCAAAGTTTAATAGGAATTCTGTCAGCTAAATGCTGTTTTACAGGGAGCCATTTAAAATATTACATTAAAATACAATACAGAAAAAGGCTATAAAAATATATACAAATATACAAGCAAAAATTACATTAGAATATTTTTTAAATTTACCAGTATTTTGTAAAATATACTGAGAACATGACTTCTTAAAACCAGCAAACGTATCGTGATTACGCACTTGCTGGGGGAGAGAGTCCCAGCCAGATGGGACCCTAAAGTCACCCCGTACACTTGAAACTGTGTTATATGAGTGCACTTCTTTAAGATATTTAAATTTTGAAATAAGATACTCAGGTGCCAAACTATGGGACACTCTCCACATTAAAACCATCCTATTAAAATGGATTTGTTGTTTAACACTCGTCCATCGTAAGTTAGACAACATATCCGCAATATGGGTCCAAGGACGCGATTTTGTAGTCTCTGTAATCTGGAGATGTTCTTACCAGAAGATACAGACCACACGGTTGAATAGTAATCCATATGAGGTAAGATTAGACTATAAAAAAGTGATTTACATGTTTGGAAAAAAAAGAATGGAGAGCAGCGTTTTAAAATGCCCAGATCTCTATTTATTTTTTTAATTATACTGTTAAAGTGTTCATGAAAGTTGAGGTGGGTATCCATAGAAACACCAAGATATTTTAATGCCCTAACTTGCTCTAAGTTAGTTGTTGGTAAATGTTAGTTGTTGGTAAATGTTAGTTGTTGGTGAATGCTGGTTAAAGTTAGTCGTTTATTGTGTAATCTCATATAATTCTGTGGCAACCTTGGAAATACTACACTTTTCAAGCGCAAATATGCATATTTTAATCTAATTACCGGACATTTTATTCAGAGTTAGCACGTAAGACTTGAACACTCTGTTAAACAACAGGGACTTGTAGTTCAAACATTTTCGAATATGCAATTGAGCCGTACGCATCTGCTTTGTGTAGTGATGATAAGTAGTGCAAATCGACCTGTTTTTATGTTCGATTTCACGAAGGATCACGCAGTGTACAGAAAATGGTATCTTGGTACAGAATGGTACAGAAGTCCTGGGGAGTCTTTTTTGCATGCGTACATATAAGCGTAGTTAGGTATGACATATGATATATGAGGTACCCATATGATTATTGGCAGTTTTCTTCCCTTATACTATAGTTTCTGTATCAACATTCTAAACCAACTTAATGGCTTGGACAATGCTCGTGACAAGCATGTATCGTGATAGTTAAAATTGCGTACAATTATTTTATCGTTATTGATTCAAGCATTTATTATTTCGATAATACATTGATATTATAACTATATTGCCATACTAGGCCCATCACAATCTCAAGTTTATATTTCTTGAAAACAATAATAATACATAAATACAAAAATTAACTGTTATATAAAAATACTGCCCATCAAGAAGTTAATTTTAGTGCCTCTGATCTTAACTTAAAAGCTTGATACAGGAAATTTGACAAATTACAACGTATAATGGGTACCTCACTTGATATTAATTTTATGAAGGTGTGGTGTCCCTGGTCATGTGGCCAACGTGGTACTAATAGCTCGTCTCTGTAGGCCTTGTATATGGGACATTCGAAAATTAGATGTAATTCATCTTCAATTATTCCGCTATTGCATAATACACATTTCCTTTCAAAACCATCTATATTATATCTATTAACGATTGATATTAATAATGCAGTGCAGTGTTTGAAACACAACTAGAGCTATAAACAAAATTATAGTCACTGTGACAGTAAATAACTTACTAGTACAAAAAATGTATATCCCTGAACATGTACAGCCTCTGTCGTTTTGAATTTACCGGGATGGCAGTCATCATTGAAGGGAATTAACTACATGTGGTCTCAGACAAGCAATACAATTATAGGCTGTCTAGGATTTGGTGAGCATGCTATCATAATACATCGAGATGTGCGGCTATAACTAGAAACGCCAAAAATGTTAAATCTTTAAAAAATCTTGATTTTTTTTTCTCAGTAAAAGATTAAATATTACAAAGCATAAATAAAAAGTGGTGGTACCCGAACCAGTTGTAATGGAAACAATGATTCCTTTTTTTTCCTCATAGCGTTAGGTCGGCCATTTCGAAATTTAAAAAAAAATTGTCAAAATTCTTGCAATTTGTATGTGGATCTGAAGACACCATCAGGTTCACGATATTGTTTTGATATGGGGTTGTCCGTCAACAATTTTATTTTCATAGATTTGCTCCAAAGAAAGACTGAACGACTGCGCAACTCAACAGAGTTGTTTAATTTGAACGATAATCACGATTCTCACAAAAGCGTTTCATCGAAAATTGTTGGAAAGATCAATCGAAGCGGGGTCATAATACAAATCTAGTTCGGGCACCACAAGTGTGTTTTTTTTTACTTTCAAAAAAACGGAATCACAGAAAATAATCTATCGAAATCTCATAAAATTCCCATAAAAGTGTGTCCATTTTTAAATCAATATACAATGAAATATTTTAGTGAAATGTTGTGCATATGTTCTATTAGTATTACATCGAAATGTCAGATCTGCAACCTGTTTGGTTCCATGTTATTTCTTCTACAATAATACACACCGTGATTCTTCCTGTGAAATTAAAAAACAACAATCGTTTGGCATTAGAATATTTCATCTACAGCGTTCACTATACACACAAACTTCAAACATAAGCCCTCACACAAACGACTAGTTATATTAAATATTAGTATTAGTTAGCGGTGACATATACATGAACTACAATGACGTAACAGTATTATTTTTCCATAGTATTTGTCTTTGTTCAATTTGGAGACAAACACGACTGACGTAAGCGACGTATAACTGCGAGTCAAGAGAACGATGGTGCTGAAAAGCTCCAAAGGTATGGAAGCTAAACTACTATTCGATGGTTGGTATGGATTGTCGTTTTTAAACACATGTTTTTATGGAATGTTTCTGTTATAATTGTTTTTATTCCTCCATTTTAGTAGTTGCTGTGGCCGCCTACGTATATGATCAGAAAAAATGAACGCAAAACATTCTAGTATTTGTTGTAGGCTTATGATTTAGCGCAAAGGTGGCGATGTTTTAAAAAAAACGATTTTATAATTAATTATGTTATTTTAGTAGTCAAAATACGGTGCTAATTTAGTGCATAATAAACATAATCTGCTCAGTTATGACAACGAAAAAACTACATGTTCAGAATTATGTTACCCTGATCTGAAGTCACATGTAGGGCGCCCCTGCTGGCCTGTCTCGTACATGTTGGGAACACGGAGGTCGAACGCTAAGACTACACGTAACAAATGGAATCCGAACGTGAAAACAAGACTGGAAACATGCGGACGAGCCAACATTCGTTAAAATGTTGGCGTATAGGACACATTTTCCGCAAATCATCGCATATTCATGCCATCAATTACGTCACACAAAAAATCCGAAAGTTCCGTAACATATAGTACCATCTTTGAGTGTAACTCGTATCTAGGTCTAAATTTGAAGGTAAGTGTGTATGAGTAGCATTAGACCTTTTCTGGTCACCGTAAACAATGCCATGGTTTTTGCCTCGCATTTTGTCAATACGACATACTGCCCTCAACGGCACATGTTAAATATCAATGGTCGCCTGTTTTTAAGCAGATACTATACTAGTATGAAGATACTGGTACTGATTGTCCACTGTTAATAATGTGTATGGCGTGCGTACACAAATTTAAAGAGCGATGGTCGTCGCGCAGCGCGTGTTAAAATTTTATGTAAATAAACAATGTATTTTACATGCGTTGTATACGTCGCTATGAGTCCCATATCGAACAGAACGCGGTGCGACGACTGCCGACCTTTAATAATTTAGAGACTACAGTGAAACAATTCTCATCATTAGAATTCTCTGAAAACTATGTACACCTTGTGGGGAGTTAATTAACATTCACCGTGATGTCACCTTAAAGGGACACCTTCTAGTTAAGCCTAATCTCACAACAAATTTACTTTCTGGATTAAAATAACAATGGATAACAAAAGATAGATTAACATTGTAAACAACATAAACAATAGTGTCCCATGATTCTTTGGTGCAATCCATGGGATTGAGCGGTTCCCCTTTAATTATGACGTGACATAGAATGTATTAAGGCTAGATTGTTCGTCTCTGTTCTCTGAAATAAAATTTCGATTTATTATTAATTCATCAAATTTTGTAAATAGTTTGAACAAGCATCGTGACAATGCGACCCTGAAAAATTCTTAATCGGTAGCACACCATACTATCAATAGGGGTTCTTCTGTACATATTGATCTCCCGATCAGAGTTTTATTTGCATGCAACATAAACCTGGAATGAATATTCATATAATCATTTCATGATGGTAACATGATACAGGGTAAACGGTAAAATGTGGGAGATGCATGTAACACAGTTCCCCAAATATTGAAAAAAAATACACTAGAAGGACACTACACAAGTACAGTTAATAAATAAACGCAAAATGAGCAGTTATTTCCTTGAACTCAAGAAAACAGAATCACGGAGCAGAGATTATCTTGTACCCTTGGGGGCAATATACGATGTAAAGGAAAGAAATAATATCATGGTTTAATGTTCGTTTGACTGGCTTGTAATTTACTGAGGGTCCTTGACGAAATATCACAACAATTGATTGGTTGGGTGAACTACAACTAAACTGAAATATATACTCGGTGCTGATATTCGAAATTAACATAGAGCTTCTCGGTATTGCATAATTGCAGGGTTGTACGTGTAGCTAACATGTGTGTTTACGATTATAAATGACTCGGACACAAGTTTGTTCGGCAACTGTATGTTAAGATGGGCCGGCATCACTCGAGGCATGATATTGGCCGGTGTGTGTTACTCCGACCCTGCGTCCGAATTACTCCGGTCGGCGATGGCGCAGCAACCCACGGCTACAATGTGTCAGGCCTCAGACTAGTAATTACTAGTCTGAGGTCAGGCTCGTAGTTATGATTGATTTGCATTGCGTACACAGCTGAACAAAAGCTAATTTACATGAAAACAAGAGGTATACTTATAATGCGTGATCTGTCAATAGCCAATAATAATATCATGTTACATTGGCGGTGTCGTTCGAATACGTGTATCACTTTTTTACAGATTCAATTTCCAAGACAATTTGCGTTTCAAATTTGTTCGCTAAAATCAAAATAAATCAAAACTTATATCACACACTCACCTAAATGGAAATGTGATTCTCTCAGCACCAATCAGTGACAGCCTACTAAAGGAACTATAGCAAACAGAGCGAAAAAAATATAAATTAGTGAATAGATGCAGAGATGCAATAAAAGTGAAAGACAGCGGAAAGGTTAGAAAGGTTCAGCGTAAGTCCGTAGTTTAGATAATTTGCTAGTGTAATCCCAGGCTATGAAATAATGCTTTAACATGAATTCGAATACAAAATAGTTCTAAAAAGGCCCATTTTTGCATGTTTCCAGTCATATTTTGCAGTGGGTAAAATGAACAGTTGTGAAACATTTAAAACTAAAATATTTTCTTTAAGTCGGTTCCGCTGTTATTTAAGGCTCTAAGATGAATACCTGCAAACGATGTGCATGTTTTTGTTCCATTTAATAAAATATCTCATGGGCAATGTTCTCACAGCTGATCGGGTGCAAGTGTCGATCAGTGAGAGACAGTCGCACGCTGGTTGTCAAGAAATAAATACCGTGGCAAATAATGTCACATAGTACTTACAACACATTAGTTAAAATAAATCGCGATTCTGTGACAGCAAAATGACGTACTAGTATATGGGTGAAGGCAGAGTCGTTCAAAACGACCTTTATATTTTGTTGTGAGGTAGTTCGTTATCTCGAATACAGTAAAATCTATCGAAAACATAATTTGCATTGATAACGACGATTTGAACAGCCTTCGTGACACCCTTTAGGTCATAGACGCGCTTCGTCACTAGAGGGCGCAATCTATGGGAAAGGTTACCTTGCATAAAGTCTCTTGTTTTGTTTTGTTTGTTTTCAATAAAATAAAAGATGTGAGTGTATAAATGGCGAATACCGGGTTACCGCGAAATACACAAACATCGAAATGAGGGAAAGGTGTAAACTCAGCATACCGGCATTGGATACTAACGCAAAGCGATTTCTCGTATTTATTTCATTATATTGCGCCATATTCGGCGTTATTTCCTTAATTTACGTCCTATGTTGGCAGCATAATATTTTGTACTGTTGGGGTTTAATGAAGGATTTCATTAATCACTCTACAACTTTTGATATCCAAATTATGAGTGTTCAAAAATTAGAGAGGTTAAGATTTTGACGTTATCAATTTATGTGTTCATGTGATCTCCAGTCCGAGATGTTCCAGCGCCGGCATTCATGACATGTAGGTGACAAAGGTCTAGGATTTTTGCTCGTTTGAAGACCCCAAACTTATTTGAATTTATAAAAAAAAAGTGTCAAAATTGTTTTGAGAGTATCCTAGATTATATTTCCATTACAAATTTGTCAAACGGTTACATGTATTTATATTTACATTGGTTGTTTATTTCATGGATTTGACACTTGAGGTGGCTGATAAGCCGTGTCGAAAACGTGCACAAAACGACCATTCTGTGCACGTTTTCGACACGGATTAAAAACCAGTTGTAAGCACAAAATTTCATATGTAGTAATTGAATCGTCTAAATTACAACTTTTTATCGTTTCAATTTCACGATCAAATGATTATGTAAAAGCAATGATATATGATCGATTGGTGATAGCCAAACTTTGTTGTTTGCTGGATTGGATTGCCTTTCTCATTTCCGAAATTTCAAACTTCATCTATTGTTTACTGTATTTGAAGACACTGCTCTTTTTTCAAAATACGAATAATAATTACATTCCCAGAATTGCAGAAATAAAGAAGATTGTGAGGTTTAATACGGTAAGCAAGACTGGCATGGTAAAATAAGAGGTGGCGGTGAATTTTTATGGCAAAAAAGAGTGGCCGGGCAGTGTAGCGAGTATGGTCTGAAGCGGCGTGCAATGACACTCGGAGATGATCGTTGACGCAAGGCATTGGTGTGAACGCACTATTAATCTACTACTACTACTATCATAGTCAATGTGTGGAATGCACTCTATAACGGTATGTAGTTCAAATAATACTATGATGTAATTTGCAAAATATTAATAATAAATTATTGTATTTTCCGGTTGTGGGCTATTCTGTTTCTGGCTCAAATAGACAACTAATAAATAAATACATATATGTATACATAAGTATGTGAAATTGTGTTTAATCTACCCATATTTCATTACAAAAATATTTATATTATTTTTAAAATACGACTTTTAGAAGTAAGAGGGTACGCTACTCTCAGATTCAGTCTCCGATTTATAACCAGTCACAGATTATAAATTAGTTTATTTGTGTTTATTAATATTGTTTGCTGGTGTTTAGATCAAATAAACGAAGCATTATTTTTAATTGATCCGACCAAGAAATAAACTAGTTTTATTTTATAATTTTGTTTTTCAAAAGATTATAGCCTGAGTCCTCCTAGAGAAAAAAAGGGGTAATATTATTGAAATAATTAGAAAATAAATATTAGATTAGATTGGAAAAGTGGGGACAATAAAGGCGAAATAACAATGGCTATACATTATATTTGTTGTTAATTGCAGAATCTAACAGTGACTCAGACAAACACCAGCTCCATCCAAATGGCTGTAAGGTACTAACTGACGGAGCATTTACTGCAGCAGAAAGTGGAATTTCAACGAAGACTCATGGCAGTAGATAAAAGAAAATTCTACTTTAGATGGAAGAACAACGATGAACAGATTTTAATTGAAAGCGGGAGGGTCGTCACGAGTCCCAACCGACGATAACAATACACGCAAAAAATGCAAAGGGTAGACGCTCGTTTGTAAACAACGACACACTATGGCCATCTGACGCATACGCAGGTGACGACTCCCCGCTTGAACAAATAAAAGAGATTTGCAATTTTAGAACTATTACAAAACAATAAACGATTTTTAGTTAACCATAATGTAACATGTATTTAAAACATTGTTACAATGATTTTAAGTTATTCTAATAAAATAAGAAAATTATCATAATTGTATTTGTTGTGTACTTTACATTTGTTTCATATTGATATCTCTATGACATATTGCAATGAATTCCGAAGACTGTGTCATTTTATTAACTATTTCTTTCACCACTCAGGAGTTTTATTACAAACAATCAATCAATTATTGGTGATCCTAACAACACTATGTGAAGTCAAAGGGATATAGGCAGTGATGACAGCTGGTTAAAATAGTGACAAGTCGAATAATGTATGATAGTATTAGTTTATAATTATTACTGAAATAAAATGTATAACACATGTAACTACTACTCTGATCTTGCTTTCGGTGACCATTTACGTCTAATACCAAACGAACTGTGTGCTCTCATACAAACTTGGCTGGTTCCCGCCTCAAGTGTCGTGGCGCATCACGCCACAAGAGGATGGTAACTATGATTACGGTATTGTGACTGACTGATTAGACCACCACGTTCTCATTCTTTGGTTTATTTCTCTTTAGATGCTGAAATGTTACGAACATCGAGTTACAAAAATGACCATATTTTAGAAACCACACCCAAATTGTAACTCGGTGCATAGAGCCGGGAACATCCACTGGTGGCGCTGTATACAATCGAGACTTTGCCGTAGCTCATTTAGATTTGAGCGTAAACCGCAGAAGCAGTTGTTAAATTTGGTGACCAGTTTATCATGATAGAAAGCGTTTATAATCTTCAAATTACCACAATAGACAGAGTGAGGGTCAAGACCGAATATACGCGATTCCAGTGATTGATACTATAAAAGCTTTTTTAATACTTTCACTTTCAAGTTCAAATATTATTCATGGATATCGATATTCAATTCAGTTAACCAAACTTCGAGTAGCTAGCAACATAGAGTTTAAGCTTCATTTAACTGTGTATATTATCCCTAATTCGAAGGTCGGTTAACTGATAATACAAATTCGAGTTACTAAAGTTACACACACACACCTCCCCATCCTATCGAATCTCTCACAATAGACATGCCTGGTGAACACTTCAGGGATGAGCATGTCATATTAAATGGAATAGCATTCCTTCGGGCGTTTTTGGCAGTTGATTTAACTGGCCGAATATCGACAACTTCCATGCCCCATGCTGAGTGGTAAATTAGTATTCCATCAGGTGTCATAACTGACTGCAAATTTCGAACATCATAAATGTGTTTGTGTCTCAGAGAGCTGCTCAATGTGCTGTGTTTTTTTTAAACATGAATATATTATAAATGAGATTGTGATTACAACTTGATACCATATCTGCATACTGCTCGGTCATCCCCTTCACGAATGCAGTTTTATTTGGCATTTTTACTTGAAGTAAAAATCATGGGGGCGCCTTTCATCGAACCGGATATAACGCGTACGCGTCCAAAGAATCCTAAGGTAAAAATTTACTAGTATTTTTTTAGAAAAATACTCACAAATTGCATGACAATGTTCATTGGTTTATTGTGTAAAATCATTGTGTAAGATTATGGTACCATAAAATAGCATTCTTTTGTGTGTTACCGTGACATATTTTGAGAATCTTGTCCTAATATTTTTCAAAAATCGCCATTTTTAGAACAATACCATAGAGCATAATGTTAAACAAAAATTGCTACACCATAAATTAATTAAGAATATTAGGATACAACTTTAATTACAGTTGTGTAAATAGAATTACGTCACTGAACTCAAACGACCACGCAGGTACGAGTCGGAAAAGTATCACTACAAATTATTAATGTGTGAAATGAAGTCTTATTGAATTCAAAACAGAATTTGAAATGATCATGATGAGTCAAAAGTTTGGAAGTCACAGCGCCCTCGTACAAGGGGGTTGACTGATCTAAACATTGTATCCTCGACCGCGGAGCATCCGGTTGTTATCATGACAACGAACGAAATGTTATTTGTTATGTAATGATATTTTCAAACTCGCTGTTTATCTCAGATAACAACGTTCCAAAACAATGTAAACAACTATTTTCGTCCATATTGTAAAATTTGAAGGCACAACATTGTCATAGACTAAAGTAAAATTTGTCATTCGTGTTTCACAAGACAATTTTGTCCCGCTTTACGATGAACTTTGAAACGTGTGAAATCAGTCCACGGTCGGAAATAATAAAAATATAAAATAGATAAAATATTTCATATTATATCATATGTCGCGTCTCGTTATAGTCGGACTCGAGCTAATTAATCAAGATATTCAGTGGTTCAATTCATCCTCCTCGTGCCAGATATTTCAGGGCACAATGAAAAGTCCATAGAAAAATACTAGCAACAATTGTAACAATTAACCATGTGTACTAAATTCCTGCTAAACACAACATCTCACTAACACTTTCGATCCTTGGGGTGATGGCGCCCTCGTACAGAGGAGTGAAATATCTAAACAAGAATATGACATGATATAATTCTGTCCCAATGCATTGAGACATCGAACAGATTTACACCACTTAAAATAAATTTTAATTGTCTACCCGAAAATGTCAAATATTCCCGAATATGGATATGCTTGTCCATTAAAAACAAACCTACTAACAATCATTTATTTGTTGACACAAAAACAGATTTTATATTTTAACACTGGAAAATGTAACAGGTATGAGATGGGCATCGATAACAGGTCATATGGTAAGCATCTTGTTCACTTCTGTTATGGTAAACTCCATATCAATATTGGGATTTTTTAAAGGGGCATGACAAATCATGGCCAAATGACAGATAATTCATATATCTTGCCATTTATTACGATGAATGTCAAAATATTAACAGTTACCATGGTATACAGTTTATTACTGGAATCAGTATTGTCGCCATGTCGCATTGCATGATTTACAATTGTTATTTTGGGAACTACAAACACACGCTCTATGTGGTATGGGTATTTGTGTCATTGTAAGCTGAATCTAAGTATGAGTTATACTGCACTCAAGACAAGAAGGGACTTGAAAACTGCATAATTAAGGGGATGGGGTCATACATTAAGGCATTAACATATTTGTGCCATCACGAGGCATACTGTCGTTATGCGATGTGTACATATTCTATAGAAATTACTCTTACCTGTACTTGTACACTGCAACGTTTACTGGTCTTTTTGCCATAGTCATTTGACACTATGAACTGATAATCTCCTGAATGTGAAAAGCTCGCATTGTAGACCCTTAACACCGATGTATAACTGTTCGGACGCTCAATCTGTACTCGTGCGTTGCTTGGTTTTTCCCACCATGTAACAAATTCCGGAGCCCCAGCAAAACGTACCACAAGGGAGAAATCATCCCCGTAACTTACGGTTTTATCACGAGGAAGATTTTGTCTTATTTGTGGAGCATCTGCATTTGAACAAAATTGTGTTATACACAAACAATGAACAATGACAAGACAAGACAATGACAATATATTAGCTTTTTCACCACCAGACTTTCTTGCCCAAATTATTGCGCACTTTTTTCTTATATTTTTCCATATTTCTGGAAATGAACCCTAATTTTGGAGCCAATGTAAAATTTGAGTCAATTTTCAGTTTGTACTAAAAAAAGTTGGCTATTTTTGTTCCAAACCAGACTAAAAACAGGACTGTTTTGAGAATTTGCAAAAAGCTAAAGTCGACGCTACCACTCCACGGGGTTCGGGGTTAAATGTGGCGGCACACACCAGAACCAGAGCATGGCCCAATAACAAATAAAATATAACTTGTCACAAACTTGTATTAAGTGTTCTTTCAATCCATTTTACTTGATATTATTTTTGATTGCAAACTATCATGATTGCCAAGTAACAGCACGTGTTATCTTGTCTTGGACATATAATGTAATTGAACAGCAATAATCGCGTTGGTATGTGATAATAATATAGAACACAATCGATAATTCCTTAGCTTTAGTTTACTAATAAGCCAATTTAAACTGACAACTCATGGCTTAAAAACAGCAAACAGAGATCATAAGACTGTTTATATTTATTAGGTTGTGGATGTTTTAGAATGAATGGACCATTGACACATTGTCTGGTAAACTAATATGCGATGTTTTTGACGTAAGACCAGGAACACGGTACACATGGTACGTGATGTAAAAGATAAACAAGTGGACTCCCTACCAGTGGCGGATCCAGCAAAATGTATTGGGGGCCAAGCTTCGCTTAAAATTACGGAGCGTAAATCGCAGAGAAGCTATGCGTAATCCAGATGATATGAATCGTCATGCGTTTAGGGGGGTGGCCCCCTCTGGATCCGCCACTGCTACCTACGAGTACAATTAAATCTAGTAGTCCAAAATTAATAGGTGGGGGTTTTCCATGACCACCAATAATGAGTAATATGTAGAGAAATTAAAAAAAAATTACTGCCTTCAATTAAATCTGGTAGTCTAAAATTAATAGGCGACGGTATTTCTATAACCACCAATAATTTCTGTGTAAGATGTGGAGAAATTAAAAAAAAAATTGACTACCTACAGTTATATCTGGTAGTCTAAAATTAATACGTTGTGGTTCGTAGACGTCAGACCACTGATAATTTCCGTGTACGACGTAGAGTAAATAAAATGGACTACCCACGATTAAATCTGGTACGTCTAAAATTGATGATTTTTGGTTTTCGGACGTCAGACCTCCGATGATTTCTGTGTACACGAAGAAGAGGAAATAAAATAACGCCATTGTCAGTTATCGTACTTACGCGATATTGCTTCAGTCATGTTTATAGATGTGGCGGCAGTTGAAATAAAATTACAGCAGAAAATCCGCGATTGAACCAGAAGAATCGTTGTGAAAAAAGGATGCAAGACGTAAAACTAATCGCGTATGTGGTTTGTTGTCGCTTTTATTGACTCGCTTAAAATGTCTGGAGTTTTCCAGACCTATTATTACCACCGAAGGAGAATCTGAACGTCACAGAGGGCCTGTGTAACCTTGTGATCGACTTTGCAATAGATCAAGATAGCAACTCTCCCAATACAGCATTCCCCCTGAGTCATTAGCTACAAGCAGAAAGTGAATCCCCCGTATACGTAGTTCCTATTTTAATATAATTGTCAAACGCTGAACTGACACGTATACGTTTGTAACTGGAATATTCTAATGTATGTACTATCGTATACATAATATTCATTATCACGCGCCCTAATGCCGTGTCAGGAAGGTAAAACCCCAGGTAAATGCCACCTATTACTCGGCGACAGTTTCGTGTCGGGTTTTACCCAGGTTTGACTAGAAAGCGATAGCGGGAATTTACGTTTGTAGTCATTTCGCCAGAAATAGCATTGCCGGACTACTTTTGCCGTCGCGTGACTCACGTATTGTGAAAAATACGAGATTTTTCATATGCTGTCTCAACCCACTACGATCTGGTTGCACCAATTCGACTGTTGCGATAACTGTTGTGGTACCAAGAGAAAGCAAGATAGTGGATTCAATTTGTCGTCAGCGACAACGCTCACACATATACAACAACCATTTATACTCAGTTCCGAAAAATGGCGGACGATAAAAAGCAACAGAAGGGGGAGTCTGACAACATGAAAAGACTGGCTGCCGCAGCAGCAGACGCGGGAACTCGCAATCGTGTATGTGAAGCTCGCCAAAGAAAGCTTATCAATAATCCAGAGGTCCTTGCAGATATCCAAAGAGGTAAGTTTTTTACAATCATGATTCTGTCTGCCATGTTCTAAATTGTAAATGTAGTTATTGGTGTTTTTACCAGCAACAATCCCACTAGTATTCAGTTTACACTTTTATATAATTTGTTTTCACTGTCGAAGTTGTACCGTGTTAGCGCCTGTAATGTGCTTGTGCCTTTCATGGTCGCGGTGTGTGTAGGTGTCGCGGTGTGTGTAGGTGTCGCGGTGCGTGTGTCTGTGTGTCTCTGTGTTAGCCGAACATTTACTAATTCGTAGCATACAAGTTGGCTGAGGTACAAAGTGCAATTCATGGCATACACTCTATATTTTGTGTTCTAACTTGTGTACGCCAAAATATGGTTTCTATATTTTGATTTGAACGATTTGGGGGAAATTATCAAAGTAAAACGAACTTGGTTTGTTTGTATTTTGACACCAATGTTCAAGTTGTAAAACATCACTAGTAATAATTACTAGCATATCATATACAACACAGGACAGTTCACTGTTTATTCTTGGCATAGCAAAGGTATTCCTTCATCTTTATGAAAATAGAAATTTAATAGAGACAGGGACCATTGAACTTTCGTAACATCGTCAATATAAATGCGGAAC